AGATTGCCGGTCTTTCTTTTTCAGAGTGGCTGGGGGTTTGAACCTCCAATCTTCTGGTTAGCAGTCAGATGCCTTAGGCACTATGTTACCAGAGCTCCTTTCATATCCTCTTTACAAAACAAAACGCATTGCGGAAGAGTCAGATCTGACTCATAGCGATCCCTCCTTGGATTTTGGAGACGGTATCACTACGGAAGTAGATTGCCCAATCTTCCTTCCAAGGAGTGGCTGGTAGGTTTGAACCACCAGCCTTCTAGTTGGCAGTGCCTTAGGCACTACACCACCAGAGCTCTTGTCAAAATTTGAATTTAAAATTTTAAATGAAGATTTATTATATTGCTTTCTTAACAATAAAATTAAAAAGAAAGGCTGAAAGTGTTCAATATAACATTTATATTTAGGAATTAAAAAAAAGCCTGTAAAATGCTTGCTGTAAATTTGATTTTAAAGTCAAACATTTTAAGATCTACATGTGTGACACTTTTTATTTAATTTTTTATTTTTTTAGGAATGGAAACTTAAATCTTTGGTACTGGTAAAGGATGTAACTAACATGTCAATAACAGTTTTTCTATTTGCATAATTTTTCTCATTAGAATTTTTGTTTGCTCACAAAATCATAAGGAACTCAGATTTGTAAATCAGTAACAGAATATCAAGAACAAATATGAATTCATTAAAACTATCTAGCAGCTAAATATAAAGAATTTTGAAGTACCAGATATATTCTAAGGATTTGTAACTCTGTAATACATTTGTGAAAGATTTGATTAAATAATCAATTCTCAATTCAATGATAGCCTTAATTCTCATAATTACAGTGTTACAGTAATGGTTTTATTATTAGTACTTCATCATAATGTTATCTTTTCTCTATAGCCTAACAATTTAGATGGACTTCTAAGATGTGATTCATAATAGCCTTGTTATCAGTTATAAACTCACCCTCTGTTTCAGAAGATTCCTGTTCACAGAAGGAAGAGACTGGAATTTCTAGGCACCTCCTGCACTCTGACTACTGTTGCCTTGCCACTAGCTGCATGACTTCAAGAGGGTCACTTATCATCTCTCATACTTGTTTTATCTCGTTTCTGTAATAAGGATTTTTTCCAGACATTTTGGTAATACATTTTAGTCCTCCTTCAAAGCCCTTCTTGCATCAGATAAAATGACAGGGCTTATCCTCTGTGTTTAGATTTGTTTTACAAAAAAATTTAAACATATTATACACCCTCTCACACTCAGCAAATTTTTATGGTATTGCTGTACTATGTTATTTTTTTATATTTTGTCATGTATTCTTAAACACCTAATATATTCCATATTTTTATATATCAGAAGATTTTCATTCTCCAAGATATTTGGCCATGGTATGTTGTAGCCAGCAGTCTTTATCAAGATTTCCAGTTTATAAATATTAGAAGCAAGAGGTATATTTTGAAATACATACACTAAAATACCATTTTGGTACAAAGTAAACATGACAGATACCTTAACTACAAGACAACATTTTTGTTAAATAGATTCCCAGCTGAATGAATAGGAAGTGGAGCAGCCATCTATTTTTAATCCATTGTTCTTAAACAGAATTATGTTCCTATAATATAGGAGCAATGTTTATATTGTGTTGTTGTTGTTATGTGCCGTCGAGTCGGACCCAACTCATAGCGACACCTCCTTGGGTTTCCGAGGCAGTATCACTATGGAAGTAGATTGCCCCATCTTCCTAAGTCACTGTTAAAACATGGACATTGCCACATAGTATAAACTGGATTTCTTATTTATAGCTATTTAAACTTGCCCAGTTTTATATTCTCTGATGTGGAATAATAACAGGAAGTCAAATGCCCAGATCTCATACTTTTCCTGAATAAGCTCCATTCTCACCAAGTATTTCACTTCTTTTATCTTTTGGTAACTCCCAAACTGAGAATCATAAAGAATCAGAGATTAACTCATGTATGAGAACTGTTTATCTGTTTTAGAAATACAGATGTTTATATACTGGGGATTAACTTTCAGGTGAATTGTTAGCTGCAAGGGGAAATTGCTGAAAGAAGCTGTTACACAGCTACTTCTGGAGTGCCCTTGTTGTTTTTGTTATGTGCCGTCAAGTCGACTCATAATGACCCCTCGGGTTTCCGAGGTAGTATCACTATGGAAGTAGATTGCCCAACTTTCCTTCTGAAGAGTATCTGGTGGGTTTGAACCGCCAGCCTTCTGGTTAGCAATTAAGTGCCTTAGACACCATAGAATACTAAATTGCTTCTACTAAGCCAGAATCTTAAATTGTATTACTCTTCTGAAAACATAGGTACTGCCTTGTTTTGGCAATAACATCCTCTCATGACAGTGTTATGTTTTGTTAAATGTAACTGTGGGTGTGCAAGGAGTTCTGGTAACAAGCAGTAGCTATAGCATTCATCTGCTAACCAGAAGGTTGGCAATTGGAAGCCACCAGCCGCTTCGTGGCAGAAAGATGAGGCAGTATGCTTCCATAAAGATATACAGTCTTGGAAACCCTCTGGGGTAGTTCTGTTTTACTCTATAGGGTTGTTATGAGTCAAAATCTACTCCTTGGCAGTGGATTTGGGTACGGGCTTACTGAATTCTTTTTTTTTCTTTTTTTTTATAAGTTTTTCTCCCCAGGAAATTTAGAGCAGATGTTACACTTTTTCTCTAAAGGGCCAGGTAGTAAACATTTTAGGCTCTGCAGGCCATGCACTGTCTGTCACAGCTATTTTACTATGCCATTATGGCTTGAGGGTAACCATAGGCAGTATGTAAATGAACACACTTGACTGTGTTCCCATAAAACCATTTTAAAATACAAGTAGCAGGCTAGAACTGGCCCAAGGGCCACAGTTTGCCAACCTTCAATTTTAAGAATCAGATATTTCTAAAAGTTTTTTTTTAATGTATGCAGACATGGATGGCAGCCCTCTTTTGTCTTTCTCCATTTCTAACCTTAGTTGAATTTTATAGACTTTATCCCCACATCAGGATATCTATATTAGTGTTATATATTGGCTTTTCAGTTTTCAGCATTAGTTAACTGCTGTGGAAGATAGGATTTAGATCCAACTCCTATGCCACATTATGAACCCCTCTCGATGGCACGTAACAACAACAATTCTCCTAATATGCATTCATTATCAATTAATCATAATCAAATTTAGATTAAATGGACTTTTAGTGATTACATTACTATAAGTCATTACTTTTCTGTATATTTTTATTTCCTGTAGTTAACATTTATGTTTATTTGTTTGTTGCTTTTCTGTTTTATCACTAATGTGCAGCACCAAACTCTTCATCTCCTGTCACCATCATTTTGGGGAGTTCCTTTGTCTGGATCTCCTGTTTCTTATATCCTGTGTCTTTCTCACTCTTTGTATTGTTCCTCATTTTAGTGGGCAAAATTCCTTGGCCAAAAAGTGTACAAGGGATATAAATTTTTCCTTGCATGTCCAAGGGTTTTTATATTTTCCTAAGTATGTAATTTTAGGTTGAAAATCATTTGTGTGTGTGTCTGTGTGTGTGCAGGTTGAAAAACATTTTCCATACAATTTTAGAAGCATTAGAATTATTTTCTTGTCTTCTGACCTCCAGAATTGCTGTTGTGACATCTGAAGCCATTCTGATTATGACCTCTATTTTCATGTATTGTGTCAGTCCCTTCGGCTTTAAAACCTTTATTAGCTTTCTGTGTTGTAGCCTATCATATGCTTCCTACAAAACCCAAGCAAGCGTATTTCACCTATAACTTCAGTAGCTCAACTTATCATTGAATGGCCCAGGGTACCAGCAGTATCAGTAGTGTTACAAAGGTATCAGCAATCTTCACTGGTGAGAAAGTCCCTGATACTACTAATCCTACATCATGATTGAAGGAAACACTGAATTTCAGTTAGAGGTTTGTGAAAATAAGGCCCTTTTCCATCCAAGTTCACGGATCAGCCAATGTATTTCTAAGGAGTTTGGACCTCATAAAAATTATAATAAAGCTATATTATGAAGATCTCAGCACGGAAGTTATTCAAATTACGTAATTTTCCTGCTCTTAATTTAAAAAAAAAATTGTTCATAGGAAATAAAGATGATAGTAGAATCATAGAAAAGACAGAAGCCTACTTAACTCAGTGTGTATTACCTGAGTGTTGCTATCTACTTTATCCCCAGTTATCAATGTTAACAATAATAATTAAGGATTGTCTGCATTGTCTTAATTATAAATATGTTAACTATATATACACATGTATATATATATAATCTCATTCAGTTGTTATCAAATATTTATGAAGTTGGCTATGTACCAGACACTCCGTTAGGTACTGAAAATACAACATTGATAGTAGATATTCAAAATATGTAGTATTAGGTAATTTCTGGTTCTACATTAAATGGAACTTCAAACATTATGATAGTCTTAATTATTTGTATCATCCAGCTTAACACTAATCGGTTATTTGGTTCTTTCACATTGATTTATTTTTTAACTAGATGTTTTAAGCTCTTTAAAGACAAAAGCTGTATTACATTTTTTAAATTATCACACTTGATGCTTTGTAAAATTCTAGAAACACATTAAGTACCAAAAAAATATTTATTAGTAGATTACTTGATAATTGTTCAAAAGTAGTAATATTTTTGTCAGCATTATTTGTATTTATTGTTATCCTAGATTATATAAATGATTTATATTAAGAATATTAACACATTTCTTTAACTGTAATTAAGTTTTTGGGAGCTCTGGTAGCATAGTGCCTAAGGCACTTGACTGCTAACCAGAAGGCTGGCGATTCAAACCCACCAGCCACTCCTCGGAAGGAAGATGGGGCAATCTGCTTCCGTAGTGATCCTGCCTCGGAAACCCAAGGAGGGGTCGCTATGAGTCGTTCCGACTTGAAGGCACATAAAAACAACAACAACAAGTTTTTATTTTCTTTATAATAGTGCTAAGTTGTCTTTATTACCATGTATTTACTTTTAATTTGCAGCCAGAATCTACTGCGACTGAAAGAGCAATTGCCAGACTAGCAATACACCCTCTTCTGAAGAAAAAAATAGATATGCTAAAAGGTATGAATTAAATGCCTTTTAAGCCATGTTTTTAATGTTTTTTGTGTATGTAATTTAAGAAAAATGGCTGTTAATTTATTTATTGTAAATATTTTTATGATTCTTTGACCTCTTTTGAGGATCATTTTTATATTATAAATGTAAGTCTCTTTCAGATATTTCCAAATGTTGGAAAGTGCCTGAAAATAAGGAAGGTGTATGATACCTTAAGAAAAACTAAATCTCTATTTTTTTTTTTTTTTTACTAATATTCTGATTGAAAATTTTATGTATGTGTATGAGATGAGAAAAGTCTTAAGATAAGGGTTTTTCAAAAATAAAAGGATTTCTTCATGAATTCAAACCCATTTTATATATAAGTAATATAAATTTCTGTGTTCTAAGTATTTCCAAACAAGAAACACTGTACTGAAGCAATGATGTTTTTATGTGTTTTAATTGTGTGCTATTTATCTATGCAGCTGCTGTCAAAGCCTTTAAAGATGCAAGACAAAATGTTGCTGAAGTTAAATCATCAAATGCATCAGAAGAAAATCATTCCAAGGACACAAATAATGATGAAAGGAAATTGCAGCATGTAGGTACGATTATCAGTGAGCAGAAACAGAAAGAAGCCAAAATACTGGCAAAAAGACAAAAAAATAACACAAAAGAAAAACTGGACAAGATGAAACATGGGCCCACAGCAGTGAACATTCCAAATTCTCCACCAAAACCTTCTGTAAAGGATTCATTAGTTTCATCTCCACCCCAGAAGACACCTACTGATCCAAAAATGAAAACATTAAATGAAACCAAAAAAAATGAAGAGTCCAATAGCTCACTTAGTGATAAAAGTGATGGGGAAGAATTACATGAGGAAGAGGAGGAGTATTTTGATGATAGCACAGAAGAAAGATTTTATAAACAGTCTTCCATGTCTGAAGATAGTGATAGTGGTGATGACTTCTTCATTGGAAAAGTCAGACGGACACGAAAAAAGGAAAGTAGACACTATTCATCAGTAAAGGAACAAAAAAAACTGTTCCCTGAAGAAGAAATACTCAGAACCCACTGGGATATGAAAGATGACAAAAACAAGCCAAGTACTGAATCCAGGAAGTTTGAATCAGTGTTTTTCCACTCATTATCTGGATCTAAAAGCTTCAGAAGGTAAGTATTTTTCTATTCAAAACAATTATTTTTTAAAGAACTAAAAATATTTCAAAATGTTTGAAATAGCTACACATTTTTTTTGGTAAGAGACTACCTCACATACAGAGTTCTAGTTTGTACAATACATCCTGTTACTAGACATGGCCTTCTCCAACTTTATATATGGCAGTGCCTCATTTATTCAGCCTCATCAGAAAATGAGATGTGATAACCAAATAATTTGTCTAAATAATTTAAGTTTATCCCTTCACCTAGCAAAGTTTTAAAATTCTGGGTTACTTTATGATGAAAATCTTTTGGAAATGTCTCATAAATCTCTTTCAAAACAATTTTATGAAAATAATACAGCATTTTTTTTTTCTTGATGACCCTAGGCCATTAATATAAACATCAGTCATTTTACTATGTATGCTTAGTTCAGTACATAAGGCTTCTTGACTTGTCACTGAATTTCTCTAGACTATATTTGGTGATACTGTTGTCTCCATCCCAGCTGCTAACCACCACTTATCATAGCTGATCTAAGTCTATTCATTTATTTTCTTACGTAACAGTAATTCTAAAATAGTAAGGGATATCTTCACACATCAGAGTGAAAATCATGACTACCTAAGGATTTTTTAGAAATCCTTTGATTTTTGAAAAACTTATTCTCATCTCAGGTAAACTGTTTTTTGTTTTTGTTTTTTGTGGGGTTTTTGCTTGTTTGTTTTTAGTATGGGTCAGGGATATTCCTTAATGAAATAGAAAAATGTGATGTAGGAATTTTCCAAAGAGGTAAGAATATAGAAAAGATACACAGTCATCTTTGGAACCTTGAAAATAATTAAGATATTTATATCTCCCAAACCTGCCTCAAAAGGCTGTATTTTTTCGCCATTTGAAAAATAACAAACCATTACACTTTCACCCCTCCCACAATATGTAAATCTTAATTTTTATTATATGTGACTCATTTTCCCTATGAGAAAACTTTTGAATTCTCTATCTAAATGGTCCCCAAAATAGGATATTTTTCATCGATAAAGATAAGTCCCTAGAAGGGTAGTGAAAGGAAAAGTTACATGTGTTTCATAATGATATTCTTCTTTCAGCAATTCCAGAGAACAGGCTCTGAAAAGCGAAACCCCAGGTATGTATAAATGACTCATGACTTATATGCAATTGAGAAATACTTTGCTGAAGTGGAATGATAAAAAAATTCTGGTTACTTAATAACCTGAATGAATTATATACCCACAGAAATAAGAACAAAGTATCTTATAATTAGCAGCATATATTTTTTATTTTAATTGGAGAAATGATTTTTTTTTCCTCTTCTGTCCTACCAATGGGAAATATATAGATGAAAGTGATCAAAAATGATGAAAATTATATCCATTTAATTTGTCTTGAATTAAGTCAAACATATCCTTTTAGTAAATTATTGTGTAAATTATATCTTAGTTAATGCCATGCCATTAAACACCACTAGCAAATATATTACTTTCTGGGTTAAGAGTAAATTTATATTATTTTCAGATTAATTAATAGCAAATTAAATGAAGTTTAATATATTTAGGTCATCTGACTGCTGCACACAATCGTAAACTCTCACTGGCTGAACAGAATAAAAACTTCTCATATCTCAATCACTTTGAATGGGCAGAATGCCTCTGTTCCACATACTCACTCAAGAATCAGGCTACTTTCGTCATTTGGCCCCTCCTCCTCCAGGTCTCAAATATTTTCCATTTATGCATATAGGATTTTGTGGGAAGTTTTTACGAGCCATGCCTGGAAGTAATAGCAATGAATTCTATCATATTTCCTTAGCCAGAACTGTGTGTGTCACATAACACACACATAGCACACCTAGCCAGAAGGGAGCTAAAAATGCAGTCTAGTTATGTATCTAGGAAGGAAAAGGAGTGGAGTTTCTAGAACACATAACTGGCCTACCATCCCTCATTCACCACCTGTCAATTTCACTCTTCCTCCAACACATAAAGCATACTTATCTCATTCCCAAAGAAGATAACCCAAAGTTTCATTCAGTCACTGTATCCGCTTGTGGTAGACTGGGTTCTCTAGAGAAACAAAAACCAGCAAAGCTTATAGAGAGAGAGAAAGAAAAAAAAAATTATCTTAGGAAAATGGCTCACGAACATATAGAAGCCAGCAAGTCCAAAGTCCTTGGATCAAATGTCAAGCTGGAGGCTTTTCCTGGCTCCCACAACCACAGTGGCTGAGAAGCTCAAAGCTGGCAGGCAGTACATCAGCTGCTGACTTCAACAAATGACAAATCCAAGATCTCCAGGCCAAACGGTAGACTGCTCACTCACGGACAGTTGTAGGCAGCACAACGGAATCCTGATCCACAGAAGAATGTCTCTCTTCCCAGGATGTCCCTGGATATCCTGGAAGCAGGCCACACCCCTAGGGAAACTCCCCTTGAACAGATTGGCCACTCAGAACACAGTCATCCGATCCCATCATGGGAACGACCACACAGAACTGGGGTCCAGCCAAGTTGACACACAGCTCCAACTATCACAACGCTCAAAGTCCAAGATCACAGTACTTTCTATCATATTTCCTTGTGGATGTGACTCCTCAAAGTTTGGTGACCTGTGCACTAAAAAGACAGGCTATCTGCCCCCAGATCATATCAAATATATAGTGGCAGAGAAGACACAAGAACTATAGTAAAAGTGCTGATCAGTTCAAAAAACAGTGGAGATAAACAACAGTCATGTCTACTACCTGGAATACTTCTAGGCAGGATTGTTATGGCTATGAGAGAAACTTCCTTATCCATTGTTCTCCATGGTCAGTAAGTCTGCTGTCTTGGCAATGTCTTTGTTATCTTCCATAGCCATATGCAAAGGGAACGTTGAACACGACTTCCTTGGGTTTTGCCCCAAGTTACTGGTGTGGATATTAGGTCCTAGGTCCAGCTCAGGCTTGTGATTTCTTTCACAATACAGCTCCCTCATACATTTAGTGGTCTTCTGATCTCTTTATTTCCAGTCAGTCTTTCCTAGAGCTGATTCTCCAAACGGCCTTATTACTGTTTTCTTTTATCCCTACTGTCATTCAGTGTCTGCTACATTGAGACTAAGATGGGTGGCAAAGCCATTTTTTCAATCTCTGCTCTATGGACTTTTATTGCTCAAAATTTTTCTCAATCTTATCTTACTTTTTGGAATCTAGAATGTTCTCTAAACCTTGTTGTTGTTGTT